ATTTGTAGGGTCCCTTGGAACAGCGACTTGTGATTGGACTGTGTCCAATTGCCCCGTGTGCAACTGATATACCCAAATCGAAGAACTTGTGCTTGCTAATCGTCGAATGACTGTTAGAGACCTTGCTGATGCTGTTGGTATTTCGAAAGGATCTGCCAATACCATTTTGAAAGATATTTTGGGCCTGAAACGTGTAAAATCTCGACTAGTGTCAAAACATCTCAATTTCTTCGAAAAAGAGCGTCGCATTAAGATCTGTGAAGAGATGCTTTCTGACTATCAATCGGTCATGAAACGGATTATTACTGGAGATGAGACTTGGATCTATGCTTACGACCCAGAAACCACCGACCAATCCAGTGAATATCGTGCAAAAGTTGAAGCCAAACCGAAAAGATCGCGCCAAAGTCGATCGAAAATCAAGGTCATGTTGATAGTTTTCATCGATTATCGTGGTGTTGTCCATTCAGAATTTCTTTTATCCGGCCAAACCGTCAACAAAGAGTATTATTTGAGTGTTATGCGTCGTTTGCGTGAAGCTATTCACAAGAAGAGGCCACACGATAATGCACCTTCTCACACTGCACTCGTTCTTCGTGACTTTTTCGCCAAAAATTCGATCCATATCGTTCCACAACCACCATATTCGCCTGATTTAGCACCGTGTGACTTCTGGCTATTCCCGAAACTCAAAAGACCACTGCGGGGAAATTTTTTTGAGACTATAGAAGAGATACAACGTGAATTGTGGGCAGACAATTCTTAGTTTTTGCATCACGATAATGCACCTTCTCACACTGCACTCGTTCTTCGTGACTTTTTCGCCAAAAATTCAATCCATATCGTTCCACAACCACCGTATTCGCCTGATTTAGCACCGTGTGACTTCTGGCTATTCCCGAAACTCAAAAGACCACTGCGGGGAAATCTTTTTGAGACTATAGAAGAGATACAACGTGAATCGCTACGCGCTCTGAAAGCCATCCCGGAAGGCGACTTTAATTCTTGTTTCGAGAACTGGAAAATACGTTGGCATAAGTGTATTGTGTCGGGAAGGGATTACTTTGAAGGCGACGAAATAGATTTGGAAGAATAAATAAATATTTTTTGAAATAAATAAAAACTGATCTTTTATACTTTTTGGACACAGTAGTACATAAATTAATAATATAATATTTTTAAAATACGAGGGTGGTCTGAAAAGTTTCCGACCTAACAAAGATACAAGTCATTTTTTCTGAAAATTGTTTTTTATTTTTCAACATAGTCTCCTTGTAAATCTACACACTTCTCCCAGCGATGCTCCCATCTCTGTAACCCGTCGAAATAGTACTCGGCGTTTTTCTCTGCAAAATAATTGTTCACGAAGGTGATTGCCTCTTCATTTGACGAAAATCTCTGTCCTCCGAGCGCAATTTTTAGATGAGGGAACAAAAAGAAGTCGCTTGGGGCTAGATCTGGTGAGTAAGGTGGATGGTCAAGCAGTTCAAACCGTAATTCGTGGATTTTCGCCATGGCAACCGCTGAGGTGTGAGACGGTG